TAGTGAACAGGGATTGAACATCGAAGGAAGCCATGTGTTTTCCTTCTATGTTGATCTTGTCCAAAATATCCACCGTTTCAAAACTGTCCTTGACTGTATGCTTGACCATCGATTTATGAACTGGTTCTAACACCTTAACCAGCCATTTCGCCATTTTGTGCTCTGGTGAGTTCGGTATGGATAGAATTGGTCTGAGTGGCACACCTGGCTTGTGGAGTTTCGGTAGGCCATAAAGTTGGGGAATCTGAGTTCCTTTCGGTTTCAGGTCCCGCGCGGTGTTCGAATGGATGAAATGTCCTTCTAATAGAAACTGAACTTCAGAGGCAATTTTCCGTTGCAGCTCTTTGGGGTCATCACATGTTTTTTCTCGTAAGAACTTGTTAGAGTCATTGAGGATGCATTCCATCTTTCGTTGATAATCTGCTGGGTCCATCAGGACAGCCCCAGAACCTTTATCAAGGTTTAAAATGACCAAATCGGACTTGTCCTTTAATACAAGAATATACAAAACGGGTAAGTAGATAAAGTAGAACTTTTAAAGATATTAAACGGTAACTAAAGAAACACAATTAACGAATCTGTTTTTTTGAAAGTGCAGTGCTCATAGCGACATCGTGAATTATTCGCTGTGATTTTATGATTTCCGTACTTTCCCACACACAATCATCGCTTATTATGTGCTTTACTCAATTCAGACCCGAGTGTCAATAAGAGGGAGGGTGGTAGGGGATGCATCAAAAACTGAGCCGTTTTAAATTCCACAAAAATATTTTGTATATCTGTATCCTACGGGGTTCAGTATTCTATTCTTGGCCGACCTTTCGACTCCTATTCAATCCGTTCAACATCTTTCGAGATTCTACTTGATCTCTTTTCTTTATTGGTCTGTGTATGCATTTCAAGTTTATCTTTGTGCTGCTAAGTGATTTCTCATCTTTTCCACGATAAGCGTTTTCCATCACTACCCCAGTTCTGATACCTTATAAGGCTTCATCAGACTTTACTGTATAATCTTATTCCTATACCAATAGTGGAGCCCTCTCTTCTTCTATGGAACTGTCGTAAGACCATTCACAATTTAGCTTATCTGTTCATTGTTCCTCAGTCCTTTTATTGTATTTGTTATTCAGGTCTTTGAACTATGGATCTTGCGGATCTAATGCACGCTCAACTTGCGTTTACTCATGAGACCCGACCACCCTCAAAATGGCCTCTAAATTCCCCTCTAAGAACGGCTTTCCAAACCTTTTCCAAGAACTACACTACTGTGGATCGCTCTTCCTTTCTTTGTTATTCCACTCTCGCGGTACCGTTCACTTGCGAGCGCAGAATCAACAAGTTGTATTTTATTTGAATGTGTCTTTATCTCCATTGTACCGCAGCTCTGATATCAAATGGGGTTCATCCTCTATGTTACACCATGCCCTTCATTTTATTTGCACTAGCGTACATCCATTAGCAAAACAACATAGCTTCAGCATTTTCAAATGTTATATGTTGAGTTTAATTTTGTTCTCTTCCAATTGTTGTGAAACTCGAAATAAAATAACTGACCACAACAAATCAGAACCAAACAGTTCATTGTAAAACCTGCCTTGAGAAAGGTTACCCACGTTAATCGAAACGTCGGCGAATATAATTCTCTACTGACATCGCTCTGTTATTAACACTATAACATTCACTATCAAATAGTTGCCGATTTGAAACGTGTTTAGTCGATGAGAATGGAATATGCACAGGACTTTATGATATTGCACATTTGTTCACTAAACAAGCAGTCGTCACACAGCATCAACGTGTCACCCAGTTCCCACTAGCAGATCTTCTTATTAGTAAGCGAGTGACACGTGGATGCTAAAGAACGAAAACACATTTGATAGATAGAACCAGACTCTCTTAATCCTTTCACTCATACTAAAAGCTTTAATTTCCAAAAAGATGTATCTTCCTCCTCCCAGTAAATAACCGGTTGGTTTTTCACATGTGATTGATGTATAATCTATAACCCATTTAAACATTTAGTTTTGCCATGTGGCGTAACAAGGCGCATACCCTAGGGTGGTCCGGTAAACCAATGACGTGAGCTACTGACATTCGAATCATGAACCAGGAAACGGTGCTGTTAATCTGGTGCCTCTGAAAAATCGAATGATTTAATCAAAAATTGAAACTATATTTGTTAAAGTAATGACCGCCGACCGTGTAGCTCAGGGTTCAGTCTGTTAACCCTCAA